TGGGTATTTGGTACCCCATTTGGGATTTGGTCCACTTTTGGCGTTCAGGTACGGTATCGGGAATATTGGCGCTATCATTGGAGTACAGGGCACGAAATTTTGACACGTGGCAAGGGGGCGATCCAGATTCAAGGCGATATCGGTTTGAAGAGTGACCTATAGTTAAGAATAGGCTTAAGGGTAGGTTGGATAGTAATTTGGTTGGTTAATAAACAGACTTGAACTCTACTTCTTCTGCTCACGACGCACGTTATCCTCCCCTCTTCTCCAGGCAAGATTGATTTGGCTTCCCCGGCGGGTTAAGGCACGCGTGTTACAGGGACACAGAAGACCGATCTTGGATTGTTGGCCAAGATCGAGAAGAGCGATCCCGGGATATCTGGCCCGGATCGATCAAGTACTCACACTCAACTCAACTGCTAGGGTAGCAGCACACAACGGAAAAGGAAAAGGATTTTGGACACAGGATCGCGAGACGGCTCAAGTGGTCAGAAGATCTGGACAAGGCGTTCAAGACAAGACCGAGCAGGATCGAAGCGATCTCCTGGACAGATCGGCACGTTTCACTTTGGCGAAACAAGACACCGATCTACCCAAATTGCGCACTTCCGGCAAGATCGGCCGATCCCAAGGCAAGATCGACGCAGGACTTTTATTTGCTGAGTGAAGATTTCCGCACAGCAAAGACCCCGATCTCGAAGACAAATCAAGATCGGTGCGATCCAAGATCGGGATCGCAGAACCCCCGTTCGTGGTGTGAAGATTTCCGCACCGGAAGCGAACCCTCAACCCAACCTCTCAGCGAGATCGACATCTCCCAAGGCCGTTACGAAGAGCTCAAGCCAGCCCAACCGACGGGTACACAAGGTGAGCACAAGATCATACAACAAGGCACGGATCGGAGTACCCCCTCCGTGAGTCGGCAAGTCTGGGCAAGTGGAAGATCGACACTCATACAAGCAATTTTGTGAGATCGACTTCACCACAGTTGCAGCGTTCAATTTGTTGAACGCGTACACTATCAGCCACACTCCTGTGGCCTTTCGCACACAGAAGGTCGGAGAGCTGTGTGGGGATGTTGATTCCCTCACATGACCAGCCGCTAAGCGATCGGCAAATTCTTTGCCGATCGCTGTGACCAGTTCACGAGGCAGTGGTCACTGCTTCATGACAAAGTACTTCGAACCGGGTTTTATTTCGATCTCATGCCGAGTGCCTTTGTCCTTAGGTATCTCGCATGGCACGGATTCCGGGAAACATCCCGGAAATCATCTAAATCCTTATACAAAGGATTTGTCTTCAAAAACTCCCAAGATTGAGACGTGTATCGCTCAATCCGGGTCTTCTCATCGAGGGCACTTTCGTCCATCGATGAACTACTGAGAACCCGTTCGTTCTCAGCAAACACTTGTGTCAACCAAATATCGGCGACGTAATTTTCCTCTGTGACGAGGACGCGTACCTGCTTGATCTTGTTACAACGCAGATCTCGCAAGATTTTTTTAGATTCTAGCGTTGGCAACTTGACCACCTTGAAGCTGACTTCGGAGGTGTAATCCGATCAAATGTATTAGCGCCTACACTTGATCCGGTCATTCACCAAGACATTGACTGTCTCGGTGATATTGTGGAAAAACACATCCGCAGGTGGTTGGGGATCCACACCCTCAATGTAACTCTCTCGGGAGTTATCACTCTCAGGAACGCTGGAACTTTCTTCCAATACGTGTACTGACTGTGAGTGCACTACCACAGTCACGTCCTCTTCGACCGACTCTCTTTTAGTCAATTGGGCTTGGTCTACGATAGATTATTTTTCAGTCGATCTTATTTCAACGTGTTGTCCATCCTGAACAACACTAGTCTCTCTTCTTGGATGCACCCTTCTTGGTGTGCATCCGTGTTCCAGTCCACTCGATCTCTTCGAGTGGTGAACCTTCGGCGCAGCCTGTGTCTCTACACAGGTGCAGGGAACTGGTTCCACAGTGTATTTGCCTTCTACATTGTGATCTTGTGCAGTCATACTACGAACGTACCACAAGTGAGGACATCGCACTCACTCGTAGTACATCCACACGCTTGATAACGCTCCAAGACATTCATCAGATAGCCATATGATGAAAAAACGGCAGGCATCTTCACGGATCGATGCTGCCAGCTGATCCGTGGCTAGTTTTTTCAAAGCCATGGCAGACTGAGGATGACATCGAATCTTTCATTCAAATCCAGTACGATGAAGTCATCATCGTACTGCTTTCTATCTAGCGTGTAGTGGATTCACACTACACGTCTGTTCACTGTTACGGATGCGCCTGTAGCAAGGCACACCGTCATCCTTGTTGGAGGGAACTCTCGCTCAACACGGTTGAGTCTACTATCCTCTAGCAACTGGCGTCAAATTAAACCGTCCGACGCCCCACAGTCAACGAGGGCGCGAAGTGACATTCCACTTGTCACTTCGATCTTCAAAGTGATGAGGGACACCTCATCACTAGTGACAGTAACACACAGCGACTGTGTGCTGGAAGCAATCTTTGTCAATAGTCCCGAAAAATATCCTTGATGTGGCTGGATCAGCAGGGTTCTCTGCCCCTACTGGCCCTGTCCGTTTTTTACGGTCCGACTTGCTGTCGCAGCTTAGCGACATGGTCGGACCCACGCTCGGACCTTTCCTTGGCCAACAGTTATCATCACGTCCTGTCTTTGCACGTGTTGCGGTGATCGGGGAACTACACTCATGAGCGTTGTGTCCAATCTTCTGACATAGATTGCATCGTGCCGTTCGCTTGTGACTCAGAGATTGAAAGTTCTTGCACTCGATGTAACAGATGTCCATTGGTTCGGGACCTCCTGTTTCCTGTCGTCTCGTCGGACGATAGTTTGAATAGTTAGCCTGAGACTGCCTCAGGCTGAAGTCTTTTTGTTCCGCATACGCTATCGCCTTTTCCAGCGTATGGAAGTCCTCTCGGAACATGGAGGTCTTCACCGGCCCGTCCACAAGGCCGTAGATGAACACGTTGATATGTGTGTACTCATCGACACGGTTTTCCGTGACGCTACTCGCAAGGTAGTGTAGGTGTTGTGCGTAAGCATGCACATCACGCTTACCTTGCTTGAGCCTCAAGAGTGCAGAGCGTGCTCTGTACTCGGCTCTTGGCGTATAAAACGTCTCTTTAAGCCGAGACTTCAAGATCTCTAACGACTCAAACACGTTTAAGTCGTGAAGCTTGAGCCCCAAGGCCCAAGTCTTTGCTCGTCCTGTCAAATTTGACAGGGAGAAGGTGACTTGCATCTCGTCACCCTCGACGTGACGGGCCCTGATGGCGTCGTCTATCTCGACGAGCCGTCTCAAAAGGGTATCTTCATGGGTTCCCTTGTACCTTGAGATGTCTATCTGTAAGGTTTCGGGTCGACGAATGTGCGTCGGCCCGCCCATCGACTGATGAGAGCCAATCTGCTGTTGCAAGGCTATCTTCTGTCTTTCGACGGCAAGTTCCTCTTATAGGAACTTGTTGATAGCAGCACGTTGCTGGTCTCTGGAGTTTTGAGACTCCAACATGCCACTGATGGTGGGATCACCCATGAGCACACTCATGCGGCCGACTATCTCCCATTCTGAGTCACTCAGATGGGAGTGGCTTCACGTGTGACGTGAAAGCTGTCGTCTTCTCCGTCCAACATGTTCATGTCGGACGGACACTAAGTAGTCGTTGAAAGGACTACAAAGTGCTACCAGGTGTATCGGGGCACCCTTTGTTTGGGGTGCCGCGAAACTTCACGTACACTAGTACGTGCAGAGGAAGCTAAACTACTTGAACGACTCGGTCAAGTAAAGGTAAAAAGAGAACTGCGTTTAATATAGTTAAGCTATCAGTATAACTTCACTTTTTATCCAACTATATTAAAACTACGCCGTCGTATGACGACAACCTGCTCACCACACATTGCGCGCGTCTAGCAGAGATTGGTGGCGATCTATGGTTATACGTCTTATATCAACCAATCTTGGAGCAGCGCATGGATATAATCCAAAAGGGGATAATATTCCTTCGATATTATCCATCTCGGATAATATTGGTAGAATACTGTCATGCTAGACAATATTCCTATTGACACCGTTTGATGTCAATTTCATGTAACGGACTACCCCGTCACATACTTGGTACCCTGTGTCTTAGACACACGGATGAAATCCCACTGAAAGAGATATAGAATATCTTATCGATGTATAGGGGCTGACTGGTGTCAACTACCAGATTGGAGAGATCTTAGTTGTACTAACTTAGGACGTAAGTGTCTAGATGCGGATTAAGATATTCAAAAGGTTCAAATGTAAATAAAATATAGTTTCCCAAATGATCATAAAGACACGTGCCTTGCGAGGCGTCTTTGGTCATTGATCACTGATCACTAAGAGTTAGCAACTGTAACGGGGCACCCTGAAGCTTGTACTGGTAACAGTACAAGCTACTTATTCTGATGACAGAATAAGGCGGTGCCTCGGAACTTCACGTACACTCGTACTTGCAGAGGAAGACGGTAAGAAGAAGCGAGTACTTGGTTAAAGTAAAAAGTAGAACTGTGTTTATCATAGTTAATGTCTGCAATAAATTACTATTTATCCTCATCTAACTATGTCTAAATACAAATGTGTAAATCAAATATCTGCTCACCACTCATTGCGTGCGTCTGTCATGGCGCGTCTTCGTTGGCTGATATAATGGCCTCTATCAACCAATTAGGAACTACTCGTAAGTACTGCAGAATATTTGTCCTTATGAAAATATTCTGAGAAGATAACTCTTATAGTTATATTTTATTAACAATTTCTTATAAATTGTTATGAAACGATTTACCCCGTTACATACCCCATCCTTAACCATCAGTACGTTAGTGACTGATTGACTAAATGGATACTCGTCCCAAATCATTTGGGACAGGGTTTTCACTTGTTGGTCCGAGTACACTTTCCAACATCTCATCGCATCGTTAACAAGCCCATGCGATGCGCGAGCAAGGCCGCCGAGAGAGCTTCCGCACGTCTCTGTGCGGACGCCGAAGCAGAAACCACAGCAACTGATGTCTCATCGGTTGCTGAAGCGACTCATCATGTGTCACTTGGTGATGCAGGCGCTGGTCATGAAGACACTCATGTCTTCACAGAGTATGAGCTCGGTGTCTCATACTCTCCCGATACGGAAGACGGATCCGTATCGACGGCGATCGAATCCAAGCCGCCTGCCAAGCGTGGCATGGATGAAGCTATGCGTCGTAGCATCTTTGGTTCATCTGATGAATCAGATGAACAATCGCCGAAGCGAAGGCGCTCGAGGTCGCAAGACTCGGGCGCTAACAGTGGTGTCGGTTCTCCTATGGACACCACTTCGCAACGAGATGCCAGTCCTTCTGTCGGCACGTCGCAGGAAGAGCGGGACCGCAGTGTCTTTCGTCTAGCTCCTGAGAAGAAGGCATGGATGCCTCCTAAATTTGTCATGTATTACTTGTCGGCGACGACGAGTGATCGTTATCGAACACGGTTGTTCGATTCGTCAAGGATCCATCACCTTGACCCCAGCGCGAAAAACTATCGCGCTGAGAATTAATTCTTCATCGATGCTTTCTTTAAACATCGATGGTACAGTGGGAAATCATGCCAGTGCAAACGCAGTGGAAGCAACGGACCTAGCAGAACCTGTGACTTTTCAAGACGCGATCAATGGTCCTGATCAAGCTCACTGGCGAAATGCTGTGAAGGCGGAACTCAAGTCGATGCAACTTCGTGGAGTTTTCCGTGCGGCAAAACTGCCAAGAGGCCAAGGCGCGATCGGCACCAAGTGGGTGTTCAATATCAAGCGCAAAGCAGATGGATCGGTCGAGAAATTCAAGGCGCGTCTCGTTGTCAAGGGCTTCAAGCAGAAGTACGGCATCGACTACACAGAGACGTTCTCGCCCGTGGTCAAGTACGTGACACTGCGTATGGTGATCGCGATCACCAAGTATTTCGACTGGCCACTGGACCAACTCGATGTGGTGACAGCCCTTTCTCTACGGAGTGATGAAGGAGAAGGTGTACTGCGTGATACCAGAAGGCGTCGAGATGGATGGCGACTTCGACTGTATCGAGTTGTTGAAGGCGATCTACGGTCTCAAGCAACCTTCACGTGTGTGGAACGAGACTTTCGACGAGTTCGTATGCTTCATCGGTTTTGAAGTGTCGGCGTTCGACCCATGTCTCTACATCAAGGTTGTCGACGGTCACTGTGTGCTCGTGCTGGTCTACGTGGATGACGTGTTGGTCACCGGCAGCTCGCTCAGAGTTGATTGCGCAGACGAAGGCCGACCTCAAGACGCGTTTCGAGATGACCGACAGTGGCAAGTGTACTTTTGTACTGGGCATCGAACTGGTGGACGAATCGGATGGCAGCGTGACGATGTGCCAGCGACGGTATGTCAACGACATCCTCAAGCGCTTCGGCATGGATGAGTGCAAGGCCACAGCAAGTCCGGTCGACTTGAGCACTCGGCTTGTCGCAAGCAGCGAAGCGGCCAAGATCGACGTTCCATTTCGTGAAGCTGTGGGAGCTTTGATGCACTTGACGACTGCGACGCGCCCGGACATTGCGTATGCTGTGTGGGGTACGTCTCGCGCTTCGCGGAGAATCCACAGCAAGAACATTGGACGGCGGTGAAGCGCATCTTTCGTTACTTGCAAGGGACCAAGTCGCACGGACTCCGCTTCCAGCCAAGCGACAAGATCGATTTTCGTGGCTACTCGGACGCGGACTGGGCCGGCGACCACGCTGATCGCAAGTCGACTTCGGGTTACACTTTCATGCTGATGGGTGCTCCTGTGAGTTGGGGAAGCAAGAAGCAGTCAAGCGTGTCACTGTCGACAAGTGAAGCGGAATACATCGCGCTAAGTCTGGCCATACAGAAAGGCAAGTGGGTGCATCGCCTGCTATGCGAGATTTTGGCGGCCGCAAACGAACCAGGACCGGACCTCGTCATCCGTGAAGACAACCAGTCGTGTATCAAGATGACGAAGAACCCGGTGAACCATGGCCGCGCCAAGCACATCGACATCAAGTACCATCACATCCGTGATGAGGTCAAGCGCGGTGAAGTGCAGCTCGAGTATTGCGAGACTTCCGTGATGATGGCTGACATCATGACCAAAGGACTTTGTGGACCTCGTCACAAGGACTTGACGACGGCTCTCGGCATTCGTGCGAGTTCGGATTGAGGGGGCGTGTTGACGGTCATCGGTTTCTACCAGTATTGGAAACCGTGACCGGTCCAATCCGAACCGCCTGTTCAGCTTAGTATTTACGACGTAGTTCTTACGGTAATTACCATGGTTGATTAGACGCGTAGGATGATGAGACGCTTCACATGATTTATATGTGCACCACATATAAATCATGTAGTAAGTAGTAAGCCCCGATAATCAATCACTTTCCAATCTTCCATCTACCCCCCCAAGTGTCTTCTCCGGTCTTCCGAGTGGACTCCCAGCATCACTCCCAGTTTCGGTCGTCAAGCTTTTCACCAATCAACACAACCGTCACCAGAAACGACGATCAAGTGCTCCAGAAACAATGTCTGATGACGAAGAAGATGCAAGCGTCTACGATCAAGATGACGACTCGACGCCTCCAACATTTTGGCGTGCCAGTGCAAACGCAGTGGAAGCAACGGACCTAGCAGAACCTGTGACTTTTCAAGACGCGATCAATGGTCCTGATCAAGCTCACTGGCGAAATGCTGTGAAGGCGGAACTCAAGTCGATGCAACTTCGTGGAGTTTTCCGTGCGGCAAAACTGCCAAGAGGCCAAGGCGCGATCGGCACCAAGTGGGTGTTCAAGATCAAGCGCAAAGCAGATGGATCGGTCGAGAAATTCAAGGCGCGTCTCGTTGTCAAGGGCTTCAAGCAGAAGTACGGCATCGACTACACAGAGACGTTCTCGCCCGTGGTCAAGTACGTGACACTGCGTATGGTGATCGCGATCACCAAGTATTTCGACTGGCCACTGGACCAACTCGATGTGGTGACAGCCTTTCTCTACGGAGTGATGAAGGAGAAGGTGTACTGCGTGATACCAGAAGGCGTCGAGATGGATGGCGACTTCGACTGTCTCGAGTTGTTGAAGGCGATCTACGGTCTCAAGCAACCTTCACGTGTGTGGAACGAGACTTTCGACGAGTTCGTATGCTTCATCGGTTTTGAAGTGTCGGCGTTCGACCCATGTCTCTACATCAAGGTTGTCGACGGTCACTGTGTGCTCGTGCTGGTCTACGTGGATGACGTGTTGGTCACCGGCAGCTCGCTCGAGTTGATTGCGCAGACGAAGGCCGACCTCATAACGCGTTTCGAGATGACCGACAGTGGCAAGTGTACTTTTGTACTGGGCATCGAACTGGTGAACGAATCGGATGGCAGCGTGACGATGTGCCAGCGACGGTATGTCAACGACATCCTCAAGCGCTTCGACATGGATGAGTGCAAGGCCACAGCAAGTCCGGTCGACTTGAGCACTCGGCTTGTCGCAAGCAGCGAAGCGGCCAAGATCGACGTTCCATTTCGTGAAGCTGTGGGAGCTTTGATGCACTTGACGACTGCGACGCGCCCGGACATTGCGTATGCTGTGGGGTACGTCTCGCGCTTCGCGGAGAATCCACAGCAAGAACATTGGACGGCGGTGAAGCGCATCTTTCGTTACTTGCAAGGGACCAAGTCGCACGGACTCCGCTTCCAGCCAAGCGACAAGATCGATTTTCGTGGCTACTCGGACGCGGACTGGGCCGGCTACCACGCTGATCGCAAGTCGACTTCGGGTTACACTTTCATGCTGATGGGTGCTCCTGTGAGTTGGGGAAGCAAGAAGCAGTCAAGTGTGTCGCTGTCGACGAGTGAAGCGGAATACATCGCACTGAGTCTGGCCATCCAGGAAGGCAAGTGGGTGCATCGCCTGCTATGCGAGATTTTGGCGGCCGCAAACGAACCAGGACCGGACCTCGTCATCCGTGAAGACAACCAGTCGTGCATCAAGATGACGAAGAATCCGGTGAATCATGGCCGCGCCAAGCACATCGACATCAAGTACCATCACATCCGTGATGAGGTCAAGCGCGGTGAAGTGCAGCTCGAGTATTGCGAGACTTCCGTGATGATGGCTGACATCATGACCAAAGGACTTTGTGGACCTCGTCACAAGGACTTGACGACGGCTCTCGGCATTCGTGCGAGTTCGGATTGAGGGGGCGTGTTGACGGTCATCGGTTTCTACCAGTATTGGAAACCGTGACCGGTCCAATCCGAACCGCCTGTTCAGCTTAGTATTTACGATGTAGTTCTTACGGTAATTACCATGGTTGATTAGACGCGTAGGATGATGAGACGCTTCACATGATTTATATGTGCACCACATATAAATCATGTAGTAAGTAGTAAGCCCCGATAATCAATCACTTTCCAATCTTCCATCTACCCCCAAGTGTCTTCTCCGGTCTTCCGAGTGGACTCCCAGCATCACTCCCAGTTTCGGTCGTCAAGCTTTTCACCAATCAACACAACCGTCACCTGAAACGACGATCAAGTGCTCCAGAAACAATGTCTGATGACGAAGAAGATGCAAGCGTCTACGATCAAGATGACGACTCGACGCCTCCAACATTTTGGCGTGCCAGTGCAAACGCAGTGGAAGCAACGGACCTAGCAGAACCTGTGACTTTTCAAGACGCGATCAATGGTCCTGATCAAGCTCACTGGCGAAATGCTGTGAAGGCGGAACTCAAGTCGATGCAACTTCGTGGAGTTTTCCGTGCGGCAAAACTGCCAAGAGGCCAAGGCGCGATCGGCACCAAGTGGGTGTTCAATATCAAGCGCAAAGCAGATGGATCGGTCGAGAAATTCAAGGCGCGTCTCGTTGTCAAGGGCTTCAAGCAGAAGTACGGCATCGACTACACAGAGACGTTCTCGCCCGTGGTCAAGTACGTGACACTGCGTATGGTGATCGCGATCACCAAGTATTTCGACTGGCCACTGGACCAACTCGATGTGGTGACAGCCTTTCTCTACGGAGTGATGAAGGAGAAGGTGTACTGCGTGATACCAGAAGGCGTCGAGATGGATGGCGACTTCGACTGTATCGAGTTGTTGAAGGCGATCTACGGTCTCAAGCAACCTTCACGTGTGTGGAACGAGACTTTCGACGAGTTCGTATGCTTCATCGGTTTTGAAGTGTCGGCGTTCGACCCATGTCTCTACATCAAGGTTGTCGACGGTCACTGTGTGCTCGTGCTGGTCTACGTGGATGACGTGTTGGTCACCGGCAGCTCGCTCGAGTTGATTGCGCAGACGAAGGCCGACCTCAAGACGCGTTTCGAGATGACCGACAGTGGCAAGTGTACTTTTGTACTGGGCATCGAACTGGTGGACGAATCGGATGGCAGCGTGACGATGTGCCAGCGACGGTATGTCAACGACATCCTCAAGCGCTTCGACATGGATGAGTGCAAGGCCACAGCAAGTCCGGTCGACTTGAGCACTCGGCTTGTCGCAAGCAGCGAAGCGGCCAAGATCGACGTTCCATTTCGTGAAGCTGTGGGAGCTTTGATGCACTTGACGACTGCGACGCGCCCGGACATTGCGTATGCTGTGGGGTACGTCTCGCGCTTCATGGAGAATCCGCAGCAAGAACATTGGACGGCGGTGAAGCGCATCTTTCGTTACTTGCAAGGGACCAAGTCGCACGGACTCCGCTTCCAGCCAAGCGACAAGATCGACTTTCGTGGCTACTCGGACGCGGACTGGGCCGGCTACCACGCTGATCGCAAGTCGACTTCGGGTTACACTTTCATGCTGATGGGTGCTCCTGTGAGTTGGGGAAGCAAGAAGCAGTCAAGTGTGTCGCTGTCGACGAGTGAAGCGGAATACATCGCACTGAGTCTGGCCATCCAGGAAGGCAAGTGGGTGCATCGCCTGCTATGCGAGATTTTGGCGGCCGCAAACGAACCAGGACCGGACCTCGTCATCCGTGAAGACAACCAGTCGTGCATCAAGATGACGAAGATTCCGGTGAATCATGGCCGCGCCAAGCACATCGACATCAAGTACCATCACATCCGTGATGAGGTCAAGCGCGGTGAAGTGCAGCTCGAGTATTGCGAGACTTCCGTGATGATGGCTGACATCATGACCAAAGGACTTTGTGGACCTCGTCACAAGGACTTGACGACGGCTCTCGGCATTCGTGCGAGTTCGGATTGAGGGGGCGTGTTGACGGTCATCGGTTTCTACCAGTATTGGAAACCGTGACCGGTCCAATCCGAACCGCCTGTTCAGCTTAGTATTTACGACGTAGTTCTTACGGTAATTACCATGGTTGATTAGACGCGTAGGATGATGAGACGCTTCACATGATTTATATGTGCACCACATATAAATCATGTAGTAAGTAGTAAGCCCCGATAATCAATCACTTTCCAATCTTCCATCTACCCCCCAAGTGTCTTCTCCGGTCTTCCGAGTGGACTCCCAGCATCACTCCCAGTTTCGGTCGTCAAGCTTTTCACCAATCAACACAACCGTCACCTGAAACGACGATCAAGTGCTCCAGAAACAATGTCTGATGACGAAGAAGATGCAAGCGTCTACGATCAAGATGACGACTCGACGCCTCCAACATTTTGGCGTGCCAGTGCAAACGCAGTGGAAGCAACGGACCTAGCAGAACCTGTGACTTTTCAAGACGCGATCAATGGTCCTGATCAAGCTCACTGGCGAAATGCTGTGAAGGCGGAACTCAAGTCGATGCAACTTCGTGGAGTTTTCCGTGCGGCAAAACTGCCAAGAGGCCAAGGCGCGATCGGCACCAAGTGGGTGTTCAAGATCAAGCGCAAAGCAGATGGATCGGTCGAGAAATTCAAGGCGCGTCTCGTTGTCAAGGGCTTCAAGCAGAAGTACGGCATCGACTACACAGAGACGTTCTCGCCCGTGGTCAAGTACGTGACACTGCGTATGGTGATCGCGATCACCAAGTATTTCGACTGGCCACTGGACCAACTCGATGTGGTGACAGCCTTTCTCTACGGAGTGATGAAGGAGAAGGTGTACTGCGTGATACCAGAAGGCGTCGAGATGGATGGCGACTTCGACTGTCTCGAGTTGTTGAAGGCGATCTACGGTCTCAAGCAACCTTCACGTGTGTGGAACGAGACTTTCGACGAGTTCGTATGCTTCATCGGTTTTGAAGTGTCGGCGTTCGACCCATGTCTCTACATCAAGGTTGTCGACGGTCACTGTGTGCTCGTGCTGGTCTACGTGGATGACGTGTTGGTCACCGGCAGCTCGCTCGAGTTGATTGCGCAGACGAAGGCCGACCTCAAGACGCGTTTCGAGATGACCGACAGTGGCAAGTGTACTTTTGTACTGGGCATCGAACTGGTGGACGAATCGGATGGCAGCGTGACGATGTGCCAGCGACGGTATGTCAACGACATCCTCAAGCGCTTCGGCATGGATGAGTGCAAGGCCACAGCAAGTCCGGTCGACTTGAGCACTCGGCTTGTCGCAAGCAGCGAAGCGGCCAAGATCGACGTTCCGTTTCGTGAAGCTGTGGGAGCTTTGATGTACTTGACGACTGCGACGCGCCCGGACATTGCGTATGCTGTGGGGTACGTCTCGCGCTTCGCGGAGAATCCACAGCAAGAACATTGGACGGCGGTGAAGCGCATCTTTCGTTACTTGCAAGGGACCAAGTCGCACGGACTCCGCTTCCAGCCAAGCGACAAGATCGATTTTCGTGGCTACTCGGACGCGGACTGGGCCGGCGACCACGCTGATCGTAAGTCGACTTCGGGTTACACTTTCATGCTGATGGGTGCTCCTGTGAGTTGGGGAAGCAAGAAGCAGTCAAGTGTGTCGCTGTCGACGAGTGAAGCGGAATACATCGCACTGAGTCTGGCCATCCAGGAAGGCAAGTGGGTGCATCGCCTGCTATGCGAGATTTTGGCGGCCGCAAACGAACCAGGACCGGACCTCGTCATCCGTGAAGACAACCAGTCGTGCATCAAGATGACGAAGATTCCGGTGAATCATGGCCGCGCCAAGCACATCGACATCAAGTACCATCACATCCGTGATGAGGTCAAGCGCGGTGAAGTGCAGCTCGAGTATTGCGAGACTTCCGTGATGATGGCTGACATCATGACCAAAGGACTTTGTGGACCTCGTCACAAGGACTTGACGACGGCTCTCTGTTGATGGTATGGCACGGGAGTGACGAGAAGACCGGAAGAGACCGGAGAGAGCGAAGAGGCTTGAAGAGCGGAGCAGAGAAGACTTGCTCGGCAGAAGGAGAATTCGAAAGTGATTGATTATCGGGGCTTACTACTTACTACATGATTTATATGTGGTGAACATATAAATTATGTGAAGCGTCTCATCATCCTACGCGTCTAATCAACTATGGTAATTACCGTAAGAACTACGTCGTAAATACTAAGCTGAACAGGCGGTTCGGATTGGACCGGTCACGGTTACCAATACTGGTAGGAAACCGATGACCGTCAACACGCCCCCTCGATCCGAACTCGCACGAATGCCGAGAGCCGTCGTCAAGTCCTTGTGACGAGGTCCACAAAGTCCTTTGGTCATGATGTCAGCCATTATCACGGAAGTCTCGCAATACTCGAGCTGCACTTCACCGCGCTTTACCTCATCACGGATGTGATAGTACTTGATATCAATGTGCTTGGCGCGGCCATGATTCACCGGATTCTTCGTCATCTTGATACACGACTGATCGTATTCATGGATCATGAGTTCCGGTCCTTCTTCATTGGCAGCCATCATGATCTCACAAAGCAGACGATGAATCCAATTGCCCTCTTGAATCGCCAAGCCGAGTGCGATGTATTCGGCTTCACTCGTGGACAACGAAACACTTGGCTGTTTCTTGCTGCCCCAACTCACTGGCGCACCCAACAGCATGAATACGTAACCAGACGTCGACTTGCGATCGGCGAGGTCGCCGGCCCAGTCTGCATCCGAGTAGCCACGAAAGTCGATCTTAGTATTTGGCTTGTAGCAGATTCCGTGCATCTTGGTGCCTTGTAGGTAGCGGAAGATGCGCTTGACTGCAACCCAGTGTTCTTCTTGGGGGTTCTCCTTGAATCGCGACACATATTCCACGGCGAACGCAATATGCGGGCGCGTTGCAGTGGTCAGGTGCATCAACGCACCAACAGCTTCGCGAAAAGGAGCATCGACCTTGGTGCCTGCATCACTTGAAACAAGTCGAGAGCTCATGTCGACTAGACTTGCGACGGCCTTGCAATCATCCATACCAAAGCGCTTGAGGATATCATCGACATACCGACGCTGACATAGTGTCACACTTCCATCTTCGCCGTCCAAAAGCTCGATTACAAGCACAAATGCACACTTGCCGCTGTCAGTCATCTCGAATCGTGTCTTCAGGTCGGTCTTGGTGCGTGCAATTAGCTCGCATGAGCTACCGGTGATCAACACGTCATCCACATACACCAGCAGCAGCACGCATTGCCCTTCCACGATCCTTATGTAGAGACAAGGGTCGAGGCTTGACGTTTGAAATCCAATAGCACACACGAACTCGTCAAACGTTTCGTTCCATACGCGCGGCGCTTGCTTGAGTCCGTAGATTGCCTTCACCAACTCCAGACAATCGAAGGAGCCCTCCGATTCCACGCCTTCAGGGATGACGCAGAACACTTGTTCCTTCATGACACCATACAGGAATGCCGTCACCACGTCGACTTGGTTGATAGTCCATCCGAAACACTTGGCGACTGCAATCACCATGCGCAGCGTCACGTACTTGACGACGGGCGAGAATGTTTCGGTGTAGTCCATCCCAAATTGTTGCTTGAAACCCTTTGCCACAAGGCGCGCCTTGTACTTGTCAATTGATCCGTCCGCTTTACGCTTGATCTTGAAGACCCGCTTCGTGCCAATGGCGCAATATCCTTTAGGTAGCTTGGCTGCGCGGAAGACTTCACGAAGTCGCATCGACTCAAGTTCCGCACGGATAGCTTCACGCCAATGCACTTGATCAGGACCGCTCACCGCAGCTTCAAAAGTCGATGGCTCGGATAAGTCTACTGCCGTTTCGATGGCGTTCGCACTCGCACGCCAAACACAGGCGGAGTCGATGCATCAGCATTCTTTGCTTCTTCATCTTCTTCTTGGTAGGTCGTGTGATTATCTGGCACACTTGATTCTTCTAGTCCAGGCCGTTGACGCACTGTGCGCGTGGGTGGAGCTGGTACTCCTTCATCATGGGGACGACTCTTGCACTTGCCTGTTTGCTTGTACTGCGCTTGACCTGGCGCTTCATCATCCAGATCGAGGGAGACAAAGACAATGTCATCGGCGTCTTCAGTGGTGGTTGGCGACGAAAGTCCAAAGGCGGTATCGTCAAAGTTGACATCGCGACTGATGACCACCTGCCCCGCCTCGATGTCATAAACGCGGTACGCTTTCGATGCTTCTTCGTATCCCAAGAATATTCCAGTGCGAGCCTTGGGGTCCCACTTGAGCCGCTTCTCCTTCGGTGTCAGTATGTAAACCTGACAACCGAACACCCTCATGTGCTTGACACTTGGCTTGGAGTTGTGGACGATCTCGAACGGAGTCTTGTGCATAACTTTAGGCGACGGCAGACAGTTCTTGACGTAGATTGCCGTCATTGCTGCTTCGGCCCAGAAGAACTTTTCCAACTTAGCATGGTGGAGCATGCTGCGACCAATTGTGACGATAGTCCGAATGGCGCTCTCTGCCCGGCCGTTGGTCTGGTGTGCATATGGCACCGTCGTCTGCTGCTCAATGCCTTCATCTTCGTAAAATTCTTGAAGCGAGTTGGTTGCGAACTCGCGGGCTCCGTCGTGTCGGACGAGCTTGAGCTTCTTGCCAAACTGCGCTTGCTCCATCTTGATGTATCGTGTGATGTAGTTTTCACCCTCCGACTTCACACGTAGACAGAAGCCCTTCATGCATCCACTGGCTTCGTCAACGACCAGCAGTAGATATTTGCTGCCACCCAGAGAATTCATCTCCATGGGCCCGCAGATGTCGACGTGAAGTAGCTCGAAGGTGTCGCATCTGCGCTTGTCTTGATTGCATGGGAATAGTTTTGGACCATTTTCCCTTGTTGACATCCTCGACTTGCGCTTGATCCATTTGACGTGAGAGGTACCTTCACATCCTTGATCATGTTCGTGGCCACCATTTTGCGAAGCACATCAGCTGGAGCGTGTCCCATCCGCGCATGTAAGTCGACACCGTAGCATCCGTTTGTTGTCGCATTGGCCGATCGATGAGCTGTGTGAAGCCAGTAAAGGCCATCCACGAGATCCGCTGTCGCCACCACTTGTTGCGATCCTTGCGAGCGACAAACATCTTGGTCCCGTCGAACACGACTTGAAACTTGCCGTGCTTGTTGATCTGCGGTACCGATAGTAGATTCTTGCTCATGCTTGGTACGTAAAGCACGTTCTTGATCTTGATCTCGATCTCGCGCTCTTCACCGTCGGGCAGAACCACCTTTTCAAAGATGGTTCCAACACCCTTGATGGCCACTTTGTTGCCATCCGCCACCAAGATTTCACCGTCGTTGCGCTTGTTCAGTCTTGCAAACTTGGTCTTGTCGTGGCATATGTGGTGTGTTGCACCACTGTCGACTGCCCACATTCCGGACACGTCCTTCTTCGCTGAGAGTCCACACTCTAGCGAAACTGCAAACGCTACTTGATCGTAGTCGCTGCCTGCATCACGATATTGTCCCCACTGGACATTGTTTGCCCCGCGTCCACGACCATTGCCGCCGCGTCGGGCTCCTTGACTTTCATTCTTCTGCTTGGTCCAACAGCTATCGACGGTGTGTCCCACCTTCCCACAGTAGGTGCACTTGTATGGCTCCCGCTCAGTGTTGAAGGCCTTGGCTGCATCTTCAGTCTTGACCATCGTCGCCGTTGTTGTCGTCTTCTCCCCTTGGCGCTTGGTGTGCTCATTCGTGAGCACCTTCACCACATCTTGGGTACGAAGCTCTGCGCTGCTCATCTCCAAATTTAGAACAACGTTCTCAAAACTCTTAGGGATGCTGAGCAGCAGGCAAATTGCGACGTCCTCGTCCTACATCTTCGCACCAATGCTGCTAAGCTTGGCAGAGATGTTCAGGACCTCGTTGCAGTGATGCATGACGTTGGCGCCTTCATCCATCTTCATGCTGAAGAGTTGACGCTTGAGGTAGATCCTTCTGGGATCCACCGTACAGCACCTTCAGGCTCTGCCACGAAACCCACGCTTCCTCGCAGTTGCCGACCACATGGTGGTAATCCATACCCATGTGCAGCAACATCGTTCCAAACGCGATGTTGTTGGCCTTGACGTAGTCGTCCTGCGCTCGAGGGTCCACGAACGTCGGCGAGCTCTCCCGGTTGACAGCATGCCACACTGACTTTGTCAGGAACACGCCACGCATGTATCGACTCCAGGTCGAATAGTTGTCCCCATCGAACTTATCGATGAGGGCGTTGGAGGATGCGTGGCCGGCAGAATACATTGCGCTTGAGCTCAAACCTGTTGATGGCATGGCACGGGAGTGACGAGAAGACCGGAAGAGACCGGAGAGAGCGAAGAGGCTTGAAGAGCGAAGCAGAGAAGACTTGCTCGGCAGAAGGAGGATTCGAAAGTGATTGATTATCGGGGCTTACTACTTACTACATGATTTATATGAGGGGGCGTGTTGACGGTCATCGGTTTCTACCACTCTCGGCATTCGTGCGAGTTCGGATTGAGGGGGCGTGTTGACGGTCATCGGTTTCTACCAGTATTGGTAACCGTGACCGGTCCAATCCGAACCGCCTGTTCAGCTTAGTATTTACGACGTAGTTCTTACTGTGGTGAAGTCTATCTCACAAAATTGCTTGTATGAGTGTCGATCTTCCACTTGCCCAGACTTGCCGACTCACGGAGGGGGTACTCCGATCCGTGCCTTGTTGTATGACCTTGTGCTCACCTTGTGTACCCGTCGGTTGGGCTGGCTTGAGATCTTCGTAACGGCCTTGGGAGATGTCGATCTCGCTGAGAGGTTGGGTTGAGGGTTCGCTTCCGGTGCGGAAATCTTCACACCACGAACGGGGGTTCTGCGATCCCGATCTTGGATCGCACCGATCTTGATTTGTCTTCGAGATCGGGGTCTTTGCTGTGCGGAAATCTTCACTCAGCAAATAAAAGTCCTGCGTCGATCTTGCCTTGGGATCGGTCCGATCTGGTCTTGGGATCGGCCGATCTGGTCTTGGGATCGGCCGATCTTGCCGGAAGTGCGCAATTTGGGTAGATCGGTGTCTTGTTTCGCCAAAATGAAACGTGCCGATCTGTCCAGGAGATCGCTTCGATCCTGCTCGGTCTTGTCTTGAACGCCTTGTCCAGATCTTCTGACCACTTGAGCCGTCTCGCGATCCTGTGTCCAAAATCCTTTTCCTTTTCCGTTGTGTGCTGCTACCCTAGCAGTTGAGTTGAGTGTGAGTACTTGATCGATCCGGGCCAGATATCCCGGGATCGCTCTTCTCGATCTTGGCCAACAATCCAAGATCGGTCTTCTGTGTCCCTGTAACACGCGTGCCTTAACCCGCCGGGGAAGCCAAATCAATCTTGCCTGGAGAAGAGGGGAGGATAACGTGCGTCGTGAGCAGAAGAAGTAGAGTTCAAGTCTGTTTATTAACCAACCAAATTACTATCCAACCTACCCTTAAGCCTATTCTTAACTATAGGTCACTCTTCAAACCGATATCGCCTTGAATCTGGATCGCCCCCTTGCCACGTGTCAAAATTTCGTGCCCTGTACTCCAATGATAGCGCCAATATTCCCGATACCGTACCTGAACGCCAAAAGTGGACCAAATCCCAAATGGGGTACCAAATACCCATTTTAGGTACCCAAAAGCCCAAAATAGTGCCCAAATGCCGAAGGCGTCTAAATCCATTTTGCGACGTCAATTTAACCGGCTTCCACTGGCTCTTTCGATCTGAACTTTTGAGACATCACTCATGGACCTTCAACAAGCATGTTTGTCATGATCCAAAATTCTCATCAACGATACATCCATAATCAGTGGGGATCATGACCGATCTGATGCCCAATTCGAGATCGTTGAGGATCGACACAGTACAATCCGGCCATATATGTTCTTCCGTTCATTGTGTGCACTCCGATGCTTTATCAAAATGATTCTGCTTCAACATCCACATCCTTGCCTCTGATCAGCCTCCAGAGTGGTCGTTCGGTTCAATCCAGTCCCTCGTCCCAGATCGCACCGTGGAAATCACCCCTTGCTACGCCCCGTCTCAAACCACGTCGCATCGCCTGGTCCCAGGCGTACTTTTCTCAAATGATTCTGCTTCAACATCCACATCCTTTCCTTTGATCAGCCTTTAGAGTGGTCGTTCGGTTCAATCCAGTCCCTCGTCCCAGATCGCACCGTTGGAATCACCCCTTTCTACGCCCCGTCTCAAATCACGTTGCATCGCCTGGTCCCAGGCGTACCTATTCCGCCAGTGGGTGACATCTTAACTGGGTGGAAGCCGATCCACGTCCCATCATTTGATTAGTGACTTTACCACAGTTACACCTTCGTCGCAGAGTCATATCCCATCACCCGGTCCCAGATCCTTGTCCCAGATTGTTCCATGTAAATCGTTCCAGATCGCTCCGTCCCAGGTCGATCCATACCCATTAGTCTAACGACAGTTGGATCGGTTCGCCGATCCCGTTAAGATCATCTTCCACCTCCGTATTGGATCGCCGAGTCTCATGGCCTCCTTTTCCACCAGTAAGTGGCGCTTTAAAGGTGTGGCCACCGATCCTCGTACAAAATTTGAGTAGTGACTTTGCCACAACCGCCCCCTGTACTGAAGTCTCTTGTACAGCAATCGACCTCAGTACAGTCACTAATCAACTTCGTTCCAAGCACTCAAGTCCGTCTCATGGCCTCTCCGACGCATCCACCCACCTCGGCGATCTCTTCAGAAGGATCCACCATGTTTCTGTCTCGCCTATTGGGATCATCCCGGATCGCAGATCCCTCGTCTGCAGGACAAGTTCAAACCTGCTCCATCGTCTTAGTCCAAGGTCAATATCCAAGCCCGATCGTCTTTCATAATCGTGTAAGTCATTCAATCGCCTTCTTTTTGGTACTTCAATTCTTTGCAGCTTCCACGATCTCGATCCTCATCGCTCCACATCATTCAGGAAGGTAATTCACTTGACTATCTCCATACTCACATACAAAAACCTCATCCACTAGCATGTGCTACCGTCTAGCACATCTTTCAACCCCTACATCCGCATATGCTACCTCCCGCATACTTGTTCGAACTGTTAAGGTTCGTCCGACTTGCCTTCATGAGACTGCATTACGTCGAAACGGTTTCGACTCACTCGGTTCCGCTCAAACTCTTGCAAGATCGCCCCACAACGTAGATCGGCCTCGTCCACCCAACTTAGATCGGGATATCCCTTCCACTTCACCAGAAACTGCCGGTGTACTCGCCCATAACGGGTTTTTCTACCAGATCGCACGTCCAATATTGCCTCTACTTCGTATTCCCCTTCTTCAAGATCGCCATCCCAACTGTCTTCTGGCAGCAGAGCTTCATCGAAATCCAAGCGATCTGATTCCTCTATCGTAAGCTGATCCTTCGGGCGTTCAGGGAACGTCTTTACCTTTTTTAGCTTCGATATATGTACAATCGGAAATAACCGATATGGGGTTCCAGCGATCTCCAATTTTACAGCATGATCTCCACATACGTCCGCAACTCGGAATGGCCTATGCCACATGTGCGCTAGCTTCTTCGCATATCCCTCTTTAACTCGGTCCAGGTATAGCCAAACTTGCGCTCCTACTTCGATCTCGTGTGGTTCCAGATCTTCGTTGTGTCGATCCGCTCGCTCCTGGATCGCGGCTTGTAAACGATCGTTCACTGCAGATCGGGCTCGCTGGTACTGTCTTTGGATTTTGTATCTCCACCTCTTTGGATCGCGTATCCCCCCGGATCCGATCTTGTGCAGTGTTAATGGCAAATGTGAGCCGCCAGGTTTGAATCTGGTACGAGCCGAGCGTTCTGGGCTCTGCATTATTGCATACGTGAAAAAAAAGAAGACAGATCGCGAGAGTAAGCAGGATATTGACGTGGAAACAAATATATCTCGTTCGAAGTTAAAACGTGTCGCTTCCGTGTCCCATCTGAAGCGGATCGATGAGTACTCACGATCTGAACCAGCTATGGAGATCGAGCTCGCTTATGGTGAATCTCGCGGATACTGGAAACATTATTCACCCGGGAAGCGGTTCAAACAAGCGAAAGCCGTTGGCAAGATCAACAACGTAAAAGCTACTCTGTTATTTGATTCTGGTGCTGAAGTGTCGATCATTGACACCACCTTTGCTCGTGAGGTCGGTTGCAATATTGACGAAAGTCAACGACAAGAATGTATCGGGATTGGAGAAACTCCGTACATGACGGTAGGACGTACCAAGATCAAGGTGACCCTCGCGGGATCGCTAGTATACTATTTCAATGTATGGGTAGGTGATCTGGCAGGGCAAGAAGCGATTCTGGGTATGGATTTTATGGTGCCTGCTGGAGTGCGGCTCGATCTAGCGGATGGCGCGCTATGTCTACCAGAAGAAATCCGCATTCATCTCGCAGGACGTCGCCCCGCGTACGGATCGAAGATACAACATATAACGGCGAAGGACCAACACGTGGTGATCCCGGTCGGAGAGTCAAGGGAAGTGAAGATCGGGATCGGAGGGGCTAAGATGAAGTTGTGGGTCGCTAGAGGACTAGATTGGGTCCCCACTGTGATCTCGGGGTGGGGTAAGACGAAATACCTGCAGATGACCAACATTGGCGACCGGGAGATCATACTGCCCACCCACACTATATTAGGCATGTGGGTCGAAGGCGATATGGTACCGCGAGCTCAAGTTTTGGTGACAGTCGGGTCGGGGAAGTACAAGGAATGGCAAACTCTGGCATATGAGGCTACAACGGATCGAGTGAACGAACTCCCGAAAGAACCGATCGGACCATTGGTAGATCGTCCTACGTATGCCGCTCCCAAACGCATCTTGAAACGTCCGTCTGATGCGTTACAGAACCTGTCTCCGGCGATCTCCACGGTAACGCCGCAAGCTAACGATGACGATTCGCAAAAGGCAGATGCTGTAGTTGCGAGGGAAGTAACGGTCAGGGGAGCCGAACTATCGCGGATGGAGAACGGTCATGAGATCGGTACCCAACATGCAACGAAGGGAGACCGCAACACCGGGCAAGAAGGGCTACGTGACAGATCGTCTCTACCGAAGGCTGAGCCGACTGACCGAATGTTGAAATTGGGCCAGCCGGAAGAGACGAAGGAGCCTAAAGAAGAAATAATTCTAAATACTGAAGACGTCGAGATTGCAGAAATACCAGTTTATCACCACGAGAGCGGAGATTTGTTTGCGGAAGATATCGAGCAGCATATGGCCGTGCTACCAGAGATGTCGGCGACTACGGAAGAAGTTACGATTGAGGACATTCAGATCGGTGATCCCGATGTGCCTCTCACCACAGATCAACAACGGCTCAGATCGCTGATCTGGAAGAGCCGTCACCTCCTCATGGGTAAAGGTAATGCTCTACCACCCGCAGCACGAGGCGCGATCTGTGATATTGATGTCGGTGGGGCAGCACCGATAGCGCAAAGAGTGCGTCCGGTCGCACCCAAATATCGGGAGAAGCTGTCAGATCTCATCAAAGGACTATTAGCAGCCAAAATCGTTCAGCCATCCACGTCACCTTGGGCGTCTCCGATAGTGGTGATCATCAAGAAGAACGGAGTGGATATTCGCCTTTGCATTGATTATCGAAGAGTGAACCAGCTGACGCGTCTGATGGTTTATCCCATGCCGTTGATCAGCGATCTGTTGGAAGATCTGGATAAAGCTCTATGGTACTGTTCGCTAGACATGGCTAGTGGATTTTGGGTCGTCGAAATGACCGAACGAGCAAAACTGATCTCAGCGTTTGTCACACCGTTTGGCTTGTTCGAGTGGCTGCGAATGCCTTTTGGGCTTAAGAACGCGCCCCAGATCTACCAACGTCTGGTGGACAATGCGTTGTATGGATATCTCAAGATCGGCCAGAGATCAGCTTCTGATGGCCCGATCGACGTGTTCAAAGATGGAGAACCTGAGACAGATCGACGACCGTCTATACTGGGACGCCGATCTTACATTGACGATATTCTCATACCAGCCGCGTCATGGGGATCTTTGTACACAAAAGTAGAACGGTTGCTGGAGGCATGTGATAAGTGGAATCTGTCTATCAGCCTCACGAAGAGTTTTTGGGGGTGCCGTAAGGTCGATTATTTGGGACATCGAGTGTCGATGGATGGTCTGGAGGCTCAGCCCAAGAACCTAGAGTCGTTGGTTAACATCCCGTTTCCTAGCACGCTACGAGCTATGCAATCCTTTCTCGGGAGCTTGAACTACTACCGTCGCTTCATTGAGGATTTCGCGGTGTATGCCGCGGTGTTGTATGAGTTAAGAGAATCGGATTTCTTCGAGATCGGCCGATCTCAGCTTGCAGCAGGAGACGAATGCTCCAACGAGGGTCGATGGACGGAAGCCAAGGTTGCTTTCACTATGCTAAAAGCTAAGATAGCTACAGCTCCCATGCTCAAGCATTTCGACCCAGATCGGTCCCCCGTAATCGTGGTCTACGCTAGCAAGTGGGCTGTCTCAGCGGCCCTGATACAGGAGTACGATGGCGTGTACCATCCGGTGACGTTTACTAGCCGCACTTTAAAGCCTAATGAGCTTAACTACGGAACGGTAGAAAAAGAAGTGCTGGCGCTACTTCGTGTGTTGGATGTATGCTATACTACGCTTGCCTCGCGGGAGATCACTGTACTGACCCGACATTCTACGTTAGCCTGGTTGATGCAGTCTCGAGGGCTCAACGGGAGATTAGGACGGTGGGCTGCTTTGTTGTCAAATTGGACTATGGAGGTGAAGAAATGTGAAAGAGGAGAGGAAGAGATCCTGGGCATGTTAGCAGCGAGTATCACTCCGAGAGGAGAGGTGGAAGAGATGCTGATTGCGATCTCCCCACGAAAAGACTGTCGACTCAAAATATCGATGCCTCCTCCAACGGTGGAAACAGATGAGGAGTTGCTGGTAGCCAGTTTCGATGGATCGGCTAGGATAAAAAAAGAAAGGAGGGTCGTTCAGTGCCGTGATATGGAAGTTACCCGAATGGACGATCGTGGCGGCCGAATCGAGATATGTTCACGATCTGACTGTGAACGAAGCTGAGTATAATGGCTTGCTACTGTGCTTTGAGTTACTCGCCGGTCTGGATAGGGGGCGAGTAATACTGTGTGGAGATTCCAGTCTGGTGATTCGACAGATGCGCGGTGAGATCGACTGCAAGGCACCGGGCCTTCAGCTTCTGAGACACAAAGCGTTGGAGAAGCTGCAGTCATGGCCTAGTCACGAGTTTCTGCATATGAAGCGAGAGTGGAATCAGAGCGCAGATCGACTAGCCAGCACAGCATTGCAGAGCGAAAAGGGAAGAACGGTTGTAGCTGAAGAGGATCGGCAAGATCTGATGACTCTGAACCGTCTCGATGAATTGTTGAAGCCCAAGCAAGATGGTCAGCTAGCTCGGGTAACTGCGATCGCGAGATCAGCCAGGAGGATACGTCATGAACCTGAAGTGATACAGGAGGAGATAGTACAGAGGATCAGGATTCAACGAATTGTCCAAGCTCAAGATGAAGAGCGTTGGATTGTCAATCTCAAGACATATCTAAGTGGCGATGTATCAAACTTGGATGCGGTAGAAGTGAAGATGTGCGCCAAACTGGCGCCGGATTACGAGATCGATGAGAACAATCTGCTATTTTTTTGCCCCATGGCGAAAAGAGAGTCGGAAGATCGCGATGGTTTGATGCGGTTGGTGATCCCTGAGACGTTGCAGCAGGATTTTTTGCATCATTATCACACGAGTCTGGAAGGAGGCCATCAGGGTATTGGCCGAACCTATCAGAGGATCAGATCGCGATTTCATTGGAGAGGACTGTATCGGAGCGTTCAACGATATGTGGGCGAATGTACCGACTGTGAGACCGGGAAAGGAAACCCGATGATTAATGGGAAATCCCCGGGCAATCTACACGCAACCTATCCATTCCAGATCATCGCCATGGATCATATACCGTCGTTGCCCAAGTCCATCAAGGGGAACACCGAACTGCTCATTTGGGTCGACCTTTTCTCGGGATATGTGATTGCAAAGGCTAGCTCCTCTCGGACGGCACAAACAATAGCGGAGAATTACGAAGAATGTGTGTTTCGACGCTTCGGAGCTAGCGAGGCTATCAGGCACGATCGAGAACCGGGATTTATGTCCGACTTCTTTCGAGCCTTCAGTCGGATCGTAGGACAAAAACAGCGTGCTACTATGGCTTACAGGCCACAAGCAAATGGAACAGCCGAACGAATGGTGCAAACCCTGACACATTCGCTCAAGATGTACGTGGCTGAAGTTGACCAGCGAGACTGGGATGAGTATGCTGAGCGGCTCACCTTTGCCATTAACACTGCACAAGATCGGATCCGGGGGGATACCCCATTTTATCTGATTCATGGGTGGGACCCGCGATCGACTTTGGAGGCTACGCTACCAGTGGGGAATACGGGGACACGAGATCGCGATCCAAAGAGGTGGAGATACAAAATCCAAAGACAATACCTGCGAGCCCGATCTGCAGTGAACGATCGTTTACAAGCCGCGATCCAGGAGCGAGCGGATCGACACAACGAAGATCTGGAACCACACGAGATCGAAGTAGGAGCGCAAGTTTGGCTATACCTGGACCGAGTTAAAGAGGGATATGCGAAGAAGCTAGCGCACATGTGGCATGGGCCATTCCGAGTTGCGGACGTATGTGGAGATCATGCTGTAAAATTGGAGATCGCTGGAACCCCATATCGGTTATTTCCGATTGTACACATATCGAAGCTAAAAAAGGTAAAGACGTTCCCTGAACGCCCGAAGGATCAGCTTACGATAGAGGAATCAGATCGCTTGGATTTCGATGAAGCTCTGCTGCCGGAAGACAGTTGGGATGGCGATCTTGAAGAAGGGGAATACGAAGTGGAGGCAATATTGGACGTGCGATCTGGTAGAAAAACCCGTTATGGGCGAGTACACCGGCAGTTTCTGGTGAAGTGGAAGGGATATCCCGATCTAAGTTGGGTGGACGAGGCCGATCTACGTTGTGGGGCGATCTTGCAAGAGTTTGAGCGGAACCGAGTGAGTCGAAACCGTTTCGACGTAATGCAGTCTCATGAAGGCAAGTCGGACGAACCTTAACAGTTCGAACAAGTATGCGGGAGGTAGCATATGCGGATGTAGGGGTTGAAAGATGTGCTAGACGGTAGCACATGCTGGTGGATGAGGTTTTTGTATGTGAGTATGGAGATAGTCAAGTGAATTACCTTCCTGAATGATGTGGAGCGAGGAGGATCGAGATCGTGGAAGTTGCAAAGAATGGAAGTACCAAAAAAGAAGATGATTGAATGACTTACACGATTATGAAAGACGATCGGGCTTGGATATCGATCTTGGACTAAGACGATGGAGCAGGTTTGAACTTGTCCTGCAGACGAGGGATCTGCGATCCGGGATGATCCCAATAGGCGTTACGGAACTGGTTGCGCCAAGGATCCTCTTGGTCTGCCATGTCCAACGCCTCTAGCAAGTCAGCTGGGTCGTTAGAGTGTCCTAACCCTGGATACCAAACTCGGTCTTCATGTGGGCGCGGATAGTGGAGGAAGAAGGGATCTAGCAAGATGTCGAGATCACAGTGGCCAGCGATCATGCCGCTGAGTATCATCTTCAAGAAGTTCTTCCAACGCGCTCCAAAGCGAGAACGGCGTTGTTTTCGTTGGCGCCAGAATGTCTGCATGAACCGTTCAGATCGCCTTTGAGCCGGAGGAATCGGGAAAGCATGAGTAGATTCCCACAGAGCTTGTCGATGAGTGGACTCAAGCTCCAGGTACCGATGACCCATATCACGATACCATCCAGTCATGGTGAATGATATCGGGTTCACTGGGACTATGATATTATCCCAAGGGGCTAAAGCGTAAAGAGCCTCGATGTGTTGCCGCGAGATCAGCCCAGAAGCCCAAGTCCCCGTAGGCGGAGCTCGTCCATGATTGTAGAAGGGAAACAGAAAATTCCTGGGTTTGGAGTAGTGGTGAAACAACAGCTCAATGGTCATGGTCCTCACGCAAACCATCGCGATCCGCGAAACGGACCATGGAGCGATCTCGGAAGCTACCCGTCGGGAGGGCGCCAGATAGTTGGGAATCCACCGATCCCGTGGTTGCTGGAGTGGCGGAAGATTGTCGAAGTCCACGGAAGAGAAAACTCTGTTAGCCACTTGGCGTGCCGGAAGGGTGATGCTGTTTTCGCTATCGGACGAATGGCGATCCGAAAGCGCAGTGGACTCCGGAGGCGGACTAACAGAGCCAGTCTCGCTGTGTGTCTCCCCTGTCGGCGATACCTCCACGTCTTCTACGCCGCCATCATCTTGAATTTCGACTACGGGGACAGCCGCGACCGGAGTGGATGGGTACGAAAGATAACGAGGCTCCGGAACGTCTGGAGAAGGCGAACGCAACAGTGCTTGAGCCAACGCAGTAGCTGCGGGAGAAGCGGGAACAACCCGAGCGGCCGGAGAGGGGTTCGGGGTCGAAGATCGGGCATCCGATCTAGGTTGACGACGAGAGGCCGATCTCGATTGGGATAATGCAGCACGAGTCAAATCATCCGAGCTAGAATCCGACTCGGTCAGCTCCTCACTTCCCGATCCAGTCCCAGAAGCCGCGGACGAAAGCGGAGAACAAGAAGAATTGGGTGGAGGCTCGGGTGGGGCCAATCCGGGAAGTTTGTTTAAAGGTATTGAAGGGTTCAACGACAATAGCCGGGAAGCCACACGGGCGGTGGAAGAATCACTGGATTGTGACCTTGGTTGAATACGCCGACGCTTGGCAGGCGGGCCGGACGATCTCGATCTGGACCTACGGGCAAGCGATCTCGATCCCGGGGTAGTGGGAGCAGGGGGCGATCCGACCGGAGTAGCACTCTTAGGCGTCGATCGAGCGATCAACGCAGACGACCGGGATCCGAGTATAGCACTGTTCAGTGTGTCGAGGAGAGCTCGGTGTTCAGCTATAGCCTGATCCCGATCATGCTCCACCACCTGCAACTGGTCGTATATCTCGAGGTGTTCCGCAAGCTGACGACGTAGGTTGGCGTTCTCCGCCTGCGAAAGTGCCAACTGACCCTCTAGGGGAGTCAAACCATCCACTTGTTGCATGAGATCGCTGATCGAAGACAGTCCATCTGCGATCTCCTCCTGAGACTGAGCCAATTGCTCCTTCAAGTGCAAAAAATCTATGTGAAGGAAGGATTTGTCCATGGTCAGCTGATCACGCTGCTGTCGGAGAGAGTTGAGTTCGGCTTGGAGCGAATGAAGCTGAGCCCTCAAAGCATCCACCTGTCGTTCCAAGTTCCCCTGAGCCTCGTCGTTGGCACATATCAAAGTGCGTAGCCGACGAATCTCCTCCGATTGATCTCGATATGTCCGCAGAGCTCGATGGCAATCACTCAAAGAATGCACTGCGTCGACGTAGCGGCCCTGCATCCAGTCATATCGAAGCTGGACGAAGGAGACAAAAGGAGCGGCTGATCTGTATAGCGAATCAAGCTCGTCTTGTAAGCGATCCCCCGGACGACGGCATCTCGGTAGGATTGCTGGAGCGCATGAATGGTGTCGGCTTGGCTGCAGAAGGTAGCCTCTCGATCCCACAAATACGAGATCGTGGCCATCGTGAGACGAACGTCGTCGGCAGAGACTCTGGGAACGAAGTCGGTGACGCCCACAGCTGGAGCAGACCTTTCACGAGATTCATTAGCGGCCGGGATGTCGGATCTGGACGCATCTGGGGCCGCCGGAGGAGTGGGAAGCGGGAATGGCTCGGAGGAACGATCTGATAATTCCGCGGCGGTCGAGAGTGATCCGACCGATCTGGGATTACTGAGAGACTCATGTTGATCTGGGACGATAGGAGCATACCACCCGCGATCTGGCGATCTAGATGGCGAGTCTCGGGATGGAGACGAGGGTCTGGTCGGCTGTCGATCTGGCGATCCTGTGGGGATTGTGGGCGATCCGGTTGGGCCTAGATGGCGCGGAGACCCAGGCCGATCGGGGACCGCTGGGGTGTGTCCTCCGAGA